CTGGGTTTTACCCCTTTCTCCTGCTCTTCCGGCCTGCTACTCTGTGCTATGCCCGTGCTTACCTTGCTCCCGGAGACCCAGTCCCTCTCGGGTCTCCTATATATATATATATGTGTAGGGTTGACTATAAACATGGAGCACAGCCATCTTCTGTAAACCTCGGCTGCTTTTGAGTGGGCCCACCCATCGTGCTTGCCTTCTTTATGGTTAGTTCCTTCAGCGTTTTTAGCTAGGTCTAACGTCTAGGCGCTCTGGTAGCGTAGTGCCTAAGGCACCTGACTGCTAACCAGAAGGCTGGAGGTTCAAATCCACCAGCCACTCCTCGGAAGGAAGGTGGGGCAATCTACTTCCCTAGTGATACTGCCTCGGAAACCCAAGGAAGGGTTGCTATGAGTCAGGTCCAACTTGACGGCACATAATAACAAGAACAACATCTCTTCTCATCTTCCTCTACCACCCCTTCCTGTGTGTGTTTTGCCTTTTCTAGCTTCTCCAGAATCATGCACCAAACCGTGAAGGAGCTGGCACCACAGTGTAACGTGTCCTTCCTGTTGTCGGAAGATGGTAGCGGCAAGGGGGCTGCCCTCATCACAGCCGTGGGCGTGCGGCTCCGAGAAATGTCCCCGAGCAGCTAAGAGCCCGGGACCCTCAGCCTGCCACCCTTCCAGCACATCTCTCTTCAAGTGGCACCCCTCTGTTCCTCCCAGTGAGCTGTGCTGGGAGGCCACTGGCATAGGAGCCTGCCACAGCCACAGCCAGGAAGAAAACAGAACCCAACTCATGGCATATAAAGTAGGGTACAAGCTAGAGTGTGTGCTGTTGGTAATCTTGCTCACCTCCGGATCCTTCCTCACCTGTCCTGCCACCACTCTGCATGATTTGATTTCCACCTGGTCATATGTTCCCCACGTGTAAAGCCTAGTGACATCTACTTCTAATTTATGCATTCTTCCAACGAAGTTATTTATTGGCTCGAGATGAAAAGTCACATCCTTGGACAGGCCCTAGGGGCCGCTGATGCCTGTCCTTGGGGACGAATCCCCTGTGTGAAATGTATTATCACCAGCAGACACTGCCGGGACTCTGCCTCCCATGGGCACCACCTGAAGAGTACGTGTGGACATAGCATTAGCCACTTCTTCCCGTCCCAGCGCCTGCTGCCTGCTGTGTGGTGTCCCAAGTCCCCATTGGGATGTGTCATTGCCACCAAATTGTGTGTCTGTGGAACCAGTCATAGCAGCATTGTGACTGTCATGCATTCTGTTTGTCTTGTGGGGGGAGGTGGCAGTCCCGTGGGAAAGTGTCTTGTCTCCATTTGGGTAAAAGGAATCAACCAACCAATGATGCCATCACTGGAATCTCCCATTGCTTTTGTGAGCCATGTTGTATGACCTAGTAAACTTTGTACCAACTCAGAGACCTGTGTAATGCTTAATGTCTGGGGGAGGGGCAGCAAAGTCTTAGAGTGAGGCAGAAACCTTAATGCTGTGATACTTGTGGTCTTGTGGGTGTGGCAGAAGGAGCTCTGGTGGCATAGTGATTGAAACATTTGGCTGCTCACTAGAAGGTTGGCAGTTCAAACCCACCAGCTGCTCTGCTGGAGGAGGATGAGGCAATCAGCCTGCCTAAAGATTTACAGCCATGGAAACCCTATGGGGCCGTTATACTCTGTCCTAAAGGGTCTCTATGAGTTGGAGTCATCTTGATGGCAGTGGGTCTGCGTTTTTTTTTTTTTTTTGGCGGCAAGGGCAGTGTGGAGAGAATTTCAAATGAACATTGTGTCATTTGGAGCCCCTTGCCTTAGTTTGGCACAAGGACCTCCCTGCAGTACATCAGAGAAGTAGCCTCTCCCCTTGTCTTCCAGCACCTGACCTACCAGTTCCTTATTCTAGCCCCTGGGTCCTTCCTTATGGAGGGATACCTGCAGCCTCCCTTCAGTACCTTTAAGAGGGTTAAAGACTGTAAGATCTCCGTCCTCGGACAGATGTATCGTGTCTTTTCTTGACCTGTCCTTCTTACTTACAGCTGGAACAAAGAAAAAGATTGGCTTCCAGGCACATTTTGGGTTCAGTGAGAGGATGTTGCAACACTGGTGTCACTGCCCCACACACTCACCATGCCCAGATGATGCCCTTTCATCACCCTTTCTGCCAACTCTGAGACAATAGGTTAAATCCTAGCCCTGCCCTAACACAGATGAAGTTTCAATGGATCCCAGCGTACCAGCATTTGCTGTATCTCCCCTCCCTGATCTTAAAGTAACTCCTTCCACAGGAAATTTGCCCTTACTTGATCCCTTTGCCCCGCCCCCACTTCAAACACTGCGTCACCCCATGGACACCGTTATGGATTCTCCCACAGCCCTTTGGTGGATCCCACGTCAGTCCATATGACTAGACCTCTTGGTGGACCTCCCCCAGGACTGATTACCGACCCATTCAGTCTGGTAAGAGTCTCTTTATTTGGGGTACTAGCAGTGACAGTGTCTCTGGCGAAGTGACCTTGATGAGAACACAGATAACATTAAATATTTTGATGTGCATTTACAGTATCACATGGTTCTTCAGGGAATTGGGGAGGGGAGGATGAAGAGGCAGGCAGGGAGAGGTGTGGGATGGGCTAGGCGTGGAGCCTTCTGAGGGGTGGAGCAGCCGGTATCCTCCATCTGCCACCTTCGTGCTGCAGAAGTGAAGTGGGAGCTGTATTGCAGACTTGCAGGAGGCTTTCATCACATGGCCAGTATCATAGTAATGAAAATCAGAGCTGCTGTTTATTGAGTACTTACTCTGTGTCTGGCCTACTGGGTTACAGGCATCACCTTCATAGATCCCCACAGCATTCTTGTGAGGTAGTTTTATCTTTGAGTGGAAGAAGAGGCTGAGGTTCAAGTGACTGGCCTACAGCAACAGAGCTGGAATTCAAGGCTAATTCCTTTTGATTCCTAACCACCATCTACACTAGACTTATCTTTGGGTTCTTAAATGCAGAGGCAGAGAAACCCTGGGCAAACCACAGGCAATGGACTTCCAATATAAGACGATTCCTCCTTTATATCTTTAGCTTGATCATGAACCAGTATCAGGGTTGCATGCTGTTCACAGACGTGTTTTATGGCTTACTCAATGTTTTATGAAAACATAAGGTGCATGTTAAAGTTTAAAGTTTTGGATTTCTGGCTTCTTTAAAAATAAGATCTGGCAACAATGGACTGCTGTTCCCACTCATCAACAATTGTCTAGAGCTGAGCAGCTGCTGTTCCCTTTGGATGCCTGTTCCTTCCATTTTGCCACAGTCTCTACCATTCCCTATTACCCCAACACTGAGGCATCACATTTGTAGTTTTTCTTTTATACTTGATCCAATTCATTTATGTTGTATGCCCAGCCCCAGGAAGGCATTTGAGCTTGCAGATCCTGGATGAGATAAATGTGAGCTCCTGTTGTCTTCTCTGATGTACATTCCATGAAACGCTCTCTGGGATAGGTGGCTGGATCCTTTTAGAGTCAGCACTCTCTACATAGTTCATGGCGCATCTTTCTTTTCCATTGGGGTATTAAAGGGTAAGGAGCACTGGTGGTGCAGTGATTAAGGCATTTGGCTGCTAACCAAAACGTGGGCAGTTCAAACCCACCAGATACTCCAAGGGAAAAAGAGAAGGCAGTCTGCTTCCATAAAGACTCACAGCCTCAGAAATCCTGTGGAGCAGTTCTACTCTTTCCTGTAGGGTCACTATGAGTCGGAATCAACTCCATGGCAATGGGTTGGGTTTGGTTTTTATTGAAGGGTGGGGAACAGGTCAACTTTCAGATCTTGTCCTCTCAAATTGGCTACTTCTTAATGGGTGCTGAGCCTCACTCTGCAGCCAGACAGAGGGCTTCAGGGTTCCATGAGCACCTCATCTTGGCCACTCTCAGGTTGCCCATTGGTAGCCTCGGAAGGGGCCATGAACAAAGTGTCTTTAGTGTGACACCTATTAACCCTCATGGAGAGGGATGGAGTGTGAGTCAGCTCGAGCTTATCTCTCTCAGTTGGTGTGACCCATGGGCAGCAGCGGAAAGCAAGTCGGAATCCAGAGCGAAACCTGGAGGTGAAGGGTCACCATGAGCAAGGTGGAAGGGGTGTGGTGCCGGGGGCTCTTGTGTGGCTGCCCCACCCCTAGAAGCCCTTCAGAGCAGCCTGCTGTCTTACACCACGGAGCCTACCTTTGCCCAGTGTCTCTTGAGAGACACATTCTTTAGTGGATTTGGTTTTTGAAAACAGCCAGAAGTAGTCTGGAGCCAAGTCTAGTGACTTGAGTGGGTGATTAAGGGGAATTAGACCAGTTGTTATTACAAACAAACAAAAAGGAACAGCAGATTTTCTTGTCTGACTTGTTAATTGGCTTTGAAAGGAGTATTCTGAGGAGTCTGTTGAAAAATTTGAGCTTTGGCAACGTTGGTGAAATAAGGACACTCTTCCCAAGGGATATTCTTGGAAAGAAAATACACATGGGGAACTCCTAAGTTTTGGTATATTTGCTTGAAAAATAAAGTTTCCTGCCACAGCAGCATCAGAGTTCACATGTGAACTGGAATTCTGTGGAACTGACATGGGTGGAAGACATGATTTGGCGGAAGGAGAACACGGCTGCTCAGAGAGGCAGAAATGAGACCCTGTATGACAGCCTAGAGAGAGCAGGAGAGAGAGAGATGGAAAGAGAGAACACTATATCGTCTGTTCTGGGATGTAGGGTTCCATGTTCCAGAAAACCAGGCTTTGTTTGGTTCCTCACCTTGTAGTTCCACAAGTTTCCACAGTGTGGCGCTTGATAGTCTCTGTATCTTACAGCCACACTCCACTTGTCCTAAATCGAGCTACGGATCATTCCTTCACCCCACATCAGCTCATCCTCCTCCCTATACCCAGTGAGCTCTTAAGAAATCTTAATTCTCTCACTGCCTTCTGGCCTGCCCCAGGTGGGTGTGATATCTAAGCAACAAAGACCCTAATGGCATTATGAGTGGCCTGGATACCTGGGCAAGAAGTAATGAAGGGCACAAAGAGGCCAACCTGACCACATCACTGTCTTACTCAGTGACCATGGCTCACCTTCTCTGGCAGGCCCCATCTTCAAAGTTTTCCAAAGCTGAAAGCAGGATCTGGGTGCTGGGGCTCTTCCCTGGCTCACCCCACATCTCTACAAGTGCCCCAAAGAAGTCCCCACCCCTCTCTAGGACTCTGCTTTTCCAGAAGAGTCTGAGGGAAGACTGAGATCTGGCCCCTCCACTCTACTGTCTGCCACGATCACTTCTAGCTGCCCTGAAAGCCGCTGGAGGACAGGAAATACATTGTGTCCTTCCCAGGGAGTAGCCCGTCCTATGTCCTGGCCCCAGCTTCCTACTGGGGGGTTGGTGCTCTGCTCCCCTCGCTCCAGGAAAGGCCAGCCATCAAATGCCCCCCCCCACCAGGCTGCCTGAGCTCCTTTCCCTTACCACAGGAAGCTCATAAAAACGTCAGGACAAGTTGTGCTTGTGTGGTATATTTGCCACTGCTGATGAACCAATTTTGATACGCTAATTAAAGGTTAATGATATTAGGGTTTGTGTTGTAGTACAGCCTGTTACCTTTCAACAAGGAACCCCGGTGTCTCAACAGTTAAGTGCTCGGTTCTGAACTTAAAGGGTTGGCAGCTCAAACCTACCCATGGGTTCTGCAAGAGAAAGACCTGGCAATCTGCTCCCGTACAGATCACAGGCTAGAAAACCCTACAGGGCAATTCTCTGTCATACCGAGTCTCTACGAGCCGAAAATGGATTTGACTACCTAACAACAGGGAGCTCTGGTAGCATAGTGCCTAAGGTGCTAGACTGCTAACCAGAAGCACTCCTCAGAAGGAAGATGGGGCAATCTACTTCTGTAGCGATACTGCCTCGGAAACCCAAGGAGGGGTCACTATGAGTCGGGTCTGACTCAACAGCACATAACAACAACAACCTAACAACATGGGTTTGGACAGATGCACAATGTCATGTATCCATCATTAGATTACCATGCAGAATAGTTTCATCACCCTAAAATTGCCCTGAGCTTCACCTATTCATCCCTCTTCTGACCCTCCCACCTGCTGCTGCCCCCCAACCACCCCCATTCCCTCAACCACTGTTTTTGCTGTCTCTATAGTTTGCCTTCTCCAGAATGTCATATCGCTGGAATCCTGTAATACGTAGCCTTTTCAGACTGGCTTCCTTCACTGAAACCAAAAAACAAAACTCACAGCTGTCTACTCTATTTCAACTCATAGCCATCCCACCTGGGGTTTCTGAGGCTCTATCCCTACAGAAGTAGATTAACCAGTCTTCTGGTTAGCACTAAATGCTTTAGGCACCACACCACCGGAGCTCCCTTCACTTGTTGTTGTTGTTGTATGCCGTCGAGTCGATCCCGACTCATAGTGACCCCTCCTTGGGTTGCCAAGGCAGTATCACTACGGAAGTAGGATTGCCCAACCTTCCTTCCGAGGCAGTGAGTATTTCAGGTCCCTCCTTGTCTTTTTGTGAATTGATAGCTCATTTCTTTGGATGGCTGTATGGTATTGTAACAAATGTACCATTTGACCAGAGATGTTAACAGGAGAAACAGTGAGTAGGGGGAGAGGAGGAGGCATATGAGAACTCTCAGTAATTTCCGCACAATTTTTCTGTAAACCTGATACTGCACTAAAAAAATAATAAAATCCATTTTTAAAAGAAGTAAAGAAAAATAAATGTCAGTACAGAAGTAAGTCCCTCCCTCCTTCGCGTCCCTCTTTCTTTCCTTTTCCCTCTTTCTGACTCTCCCCACCCCCACTCCAGCTCTCTGACCCTCCCTCTCTCCTCTCCTTTTCCCATACAGACCCCAGGAGAGCGCAGACAGACAGTAAGAGCTTTGGCCTAGGCAGTCGGACATGGCTTCAGGGAGGAGAGGAGCCTCAAGAGGAAGGATTGTGCTGTGGGCTGGACTGTGAGGATAGCATTCCCGTGTGAGCATGGCATGGCAGACAGAGAAGCAAAGGCTCAGGCAGGAATAAGGGCAGTGATTTGAGTGGTCCCTGCACAACTGGGTGGGGCCAGGCCATGGAGCTGTGAGGGCTGAGGGGAGGGACTCATGGTGGGGCTCACCTGCGGTTGAGGCAGCAATAGATGATGGGATTGTACATAGTGGAGCTCATGGCCAACCAGAAGAGGGCCAGGTAGACCTGCTGGATGAACTTATGGCAGTAGATGTCCTCTTGGAAGTTGCCCAGGATGAAGTAGAGGTGGTAGGGCAGCCAGCAGACAGCAAATGTCACCACCACCAGCACCATGGTCTTCACAAACTGGCCCAGGAAAGGCTCAGGTTACTCTTCAGCCTGTGAGTTCTAAGGCCCCAACCCTTCTGAGGGCAGGGCAGGGGGTGCCCCTCAGGCCAGCCTGGGAGACCTCCACAATCAGGCCTCATCTCCCTCTACTGTCATGGTTCCTTAGAGCATCTGCTGCCCAGACACTCCTGAGCCTCAGCCTCAGGGCCTTTGCACAGGCTGGTCCTTTCACCTACACTGTTGTCTTTCCTTTGAAGTCCTTATTCTTCAAAGCCCAACTCCACTGCCCCCTTCTCCAGGAGGCTTCCCAGAATCCTTCACTCATAAAGCAACTCTCTCTCCCTGGAGAGTGGCTGAGATTTACCTTCTAATCCTATCCTTAGGAGAGCTCCTGTGTCAGCGCTGGGTTCCAGGAGGCCCTCTCTATGGATCTGTGTCAGCCACGGCCTATCTAGCCACAGGCTTCAACCTCTGCCCAGGAGGCAGCCCTCACCCTTCTCCTCCTCACAGCCTTCCCTTTGCAGGCACCTTCCTGCATGGCCCTGCATGGCTCTGAGGGATGGAAAGTAAACCAGAGAGGGCACATGGAGCCCACCCCTCCATATGAGAAGGGACACTGAAGTGGAATCCCTGACCAGCTACTTCCCTGAGCCATCTTGTGAAAAACACCTAACGACAGGTGGGAAGCCATGGCATTACCTGGGTAAATGATGTGATTAACCCATTACCTCTTCCAGTCTCCTAGCAGGAAGGGAACATGAAAAAGATAATGAACTCTGATTGGGAGAGGGTGGAGGTGGTCTGGACAAAGAATGCTACATCAGGACCCTTGGGGGCCCTGGGTGGCAGGGAGGAGAGGACACTGGCACTATGAGTGGGCATAGAAGACAGACCTGAGGAAGCTGGATCACAGGAGCGTCTCCATGGTCTCTGAGGTCTATACTTCCGGCATCTGAGGATTTGCCTGTGATTCTAGCTGGGTGGCTCCTGCAGTTCTGGGGGCTTCTTAAACGCTACATTCTGGCTATTCAGAACATCTAAGATTTTAGCACTCATAGGAACCTCTCCTTGGGTTTCCATATCTCTATGGAAGCAGATTGCCCAATGTTCCTTGAGAGGAGTGGCTGGTGGGTTTGAACCACCAACCTTCTGGTTAGCAGTCAAGTGCCTTAGGCACTATGCTACCAGAGCTCCTGCCTTAGGCACTAGGAGTAGTGATATGCCCTAGGAAATGCAAGGAGGGGTCGTTATGAATGAGTCATGTCCAACTCAAAGACAGTGAGTTTGGTTTGATTAGTTTTACCTTAGGCACTATGCCACCAGAGCTGCTAAGATTTTAGGATTCTATCTCTGGTGATGTAGTGCTTAAGGCATTTGACTGCTAACCAGAAGGCAAGAGGTTCAAACCCACCCGCCACTTCTCGAAGAAGGTTGGGCAATCGACAGTGATAACCCACTGCCGTTGAGTCAAGTCTGACTCACAGCGACCCCTCCTTGGGTTTCCCAGGCGTTATCTACTAAAGTAGATTGCCCAACCTTCCTTCTGAGGCGTGGCTGGTGGGCTTGAACCGCCAGCCTGCTGGTTAGCAGTCAGATGCCTTAGGCACTGCGCCACCAGGGCTCCCTCCTTAGTGATACTGCATTGGAAACCCAAGGAAGGGTCGCTATGAGTCGAATCCGACTCGACGGCAGTAAGTTTTTAGTTTATCATTTTAAGATTCTTGGAAGTATCTGAAATCCCATGAGGTATTAGGATTCCCCGATTCTCCTAGGATTCCGGGAAGTTCCTTTAACTTTGTATTTAGCTTAAGACCAAAGGCTGACCCACTCAGCCTTTGAGTGGCAAGGTATCGGTGGATCCTTTCCGGCTACGTTCCCTTGAAGGACAGGCGGTGAGTTGTGTCAGAGGGCTTCCGGAGGCGGGGCCCAGCCTGACCTCGCCCCAGCCCACCTCCCCCCCTCCCCTCCTGCCTGCCGGGTTCGGCTACCCCTGCCCCAGCGCTAACCTTTTTCTTCGCCTGAAGGTGGCGCAGGCTGGCGCCGTGCTCCTGATGCCCAGGGACCGCGCGCCTCCAGAGTGTGACGCCGATGACGCTGTAAGCGACGAACATCACCATAAGGGGAAGGAAGTAGATGAGGGCGATCACTGCGAGGTGGTACCTAGAAGGAGAGCCAGGGCCTGAGCACCAGACCGTCCACGGGGCAACTCCCAGCACTTGGTCCCTGAAACCCCGCGGGCGCTCTTGCACCAGGGTCCTGGCTTTCTGGGCTGAGACCTGAGGCCCGTCTCTGGGCCGCCTTGTAAGTCCTTTTTGTTGTTGTTGTTTGTTTGTTTTTAAAAAGGCAACATTGGCTAATCTGTATGTCAAAAGGAGGACTTCCTGTGCCATGGAAGGAACAAGAGTATTAAGCCAGCATTCTTCTTTGTTACAGACAAGTACATAAAAGGAAATAAACATTCATAAAAATGAATGCGGATGACCAAAAAAAAAATATGTATATATTTTTTTAAATAAAAGATACCATTAACACGATGAGAAAGTAAAATTACTTACCCCATCCCCACCACTGTTAGTTAGGCATATTTCCTTCCAGAATCATAGGTATGTATATATGTATATGTATGTCTGGTAGCATAGTGCCTAAGGCACTTGACTGCTAACCAGAAGGCTGGTGGTTCAAACCCACCAGACACTCCTCAGAAGGAAGGTTGAGCAATCTACTTCTGTAGTAATACCGCCTTGGAAACCCAAGGAGGGGTCGCTATGAGTCGGCACATAACAACAACAACATATGTGTATATATAGATATATACATACATATATATTTGAAACATATCTATAGATAAAATAATTTATTATATATTATCTACATTATATATTGAGGGGCTCTGGTCATACAGTGGTTAAGGCATTTGGCTGTGTTGACCAAAAGGTTGGAGGCTGGGACCCACCAAGTACTCTGTGGGAGAAAGATGAAGCAGTCAGCTCTTGTAAAGATTTACAGCCTTGGAAACCCTATGAATTGGAATCAACTCAATGACAGTGGGTTTGGGGTTTTTTGGAGTTATATATTGAAGGATCCCTAGTGGTGCAGTGGTTAAAACACTTGCCTGCGAACCAAAAGGTTGATGGTTCAAACCTACCAGCTATAAAGATTGACAGTCTTGGAAGACCTATGGGGCAGTTCTACTCTTTCCTATAGTGTCACTATGATTCGGCATCAACTTGGTGGCAATGAACTTGTTTTTTTCTGTATATTATAGATCTAATTATATGTCTTATATGGCAGTGGAAAAGTACCACATTGTACATGCTAGTCTGTCATCTGCTTCCTGCCCATCAACATTAGGCTGGGAACATCGTTCATGCCAGCAAACAAACTTCTTTCACAGCACCTTTGAGCAAGTGGCCCAGACTAGTGTCACATGGTTCCTTACCCAGTCCCAGGAGGACACCCAGGCTGTGCTGAGGCTGCTTCCTTTCCTTTTGGAAAAAGAGTAAAGGAGATGTGTGTTACATCCCAGCATGATGCCACAGCCTCCCTCCAATAAGGTGCAGGCTGAGGACCAACTCCCAGGCAGCTCTGCAGTGGGAACCCTTGGAGCATCCTGTGAGGGGGCCCGAGACCTGCATCTAAGAGGCTGAAGTGTTCCCAAGTCCTGCCTCTTGCCAGCTCACTGGGGGCCTTTTAAGAAGTGCTAGCACACTGACGGCATGGAGTAGGTGGCTCCAACAAATCTTTCCCATAAAGCCTCGTGTTTAAAATTCTGCCAATTACAAAAGGGTTGGGACCTCCTAGGCCCCCTGATCCTCATTCCAGATCTGGGCTGAGAGCCCTGCTCTTGGGTCAGGTAAGAGGCGAGGAGGAGCAGTGGATGCCAGGCCCTTGCACTTTACCTTCATCACGAGATCACAGGGTGTCTGAGCTAGAAGGACCTTGAGGGTCAACAGGACCACTTGCCTCATGGGGAAACTGAGGCCCAGAGAGATGCAGTAAGTCTGTGTCATAAAGAACAGCTCTACAGACTTAATCAAGACCCAAATAATTTCCCTTTCATTGAGGGTCAGTCCTGTGGAGGTGTAGTGAAATGAGTTCCTTCATGTGGCCTTTTGCCTTGGTTCTTTGGAAAAAATAGCTCTAGAGATTTTTCCAGTAAGTCCTGAGGAGTTAACCTTTGCCCCAGTTTTCTATCCCAGAGGGTTTATTACTTTTGTCCAGGTTGATTGATGTTTCCTGGGTAAGCTTAAAAATTTTGTGGTTTGATACTTTTTGTCTGGCCCTGGGCTGCAGCCTGTCCTATAATTGGTCTGTTTAATGAACCTTGCAGGGATCGGCCAATATTATTATGCAAATGAAGTGAATATAGCCTATTATGCAAGTGAAGTGCCTGTGGCCTACTGAGAGGAGATTGGTCAGTTTGTGGCCCTGGTGGGAGGGCCATGCCTTAAACTGATCAACCCCACAGAGACTGGCAAACTGGAAGAAGAAGAAAGAAGCAGAAAGGAGAAAAGTCAAGAAAGGCAAAAAGAGAGAAGATGCAGAGAGAGAGAGAGGAAGCAGATAGAGAAAGAAGGAAAGAAGCATAAAGGAGAATAAGCAAGAAGAAAGGAGCAACAGAGAGAGGAGGCAAGGAACCTCCTAAAAGAGCTGTAACACAGGTCAAAGACTGTGCCACTGAAGTTAGCAGGAGGCCCAGGAGAATCCCTGTGGCAAAGTGACTGGTGACAGCAGAAACCTCCTGCTGGGAGTGCAGCTAAGAGAGCTGAGCAAAACTGCTGCATGGCTATGAGCTGGGTCAGTTAGCAGTGGAGAGGGAGGATGAAGGCCGAGAGGCCTGCACGATTGACGGGGTATGCATGGCCAAAAGAAGGCCTGTCCTGAGGGAGCCGAGAGAAGGCTTGTTGTCCTCAGGAGGCTGGGAGGGAGTGTGCATGGCAGAGAGAAGGGCCTGTTTGCATGCCTGGCTGAGAGGAGCTGAGAGACCTGTCCAGAATTGACAAGGGAAGGGTGTGCTCTGCACTGTGGGAAGGCCTTTCCTAATCTTTCCTGCCTGCTTCTTAATCTTGATCCTGAGTTGTTCCCTGTTACTTCCTTAATAAATTACTCAACTGTACATATGGTCCCTGAGTTTTGTGTGGCCATTCCAACAGATTATTAAACCCAGAAGAGAAGTAGAGAGTTCTATGGGAGGGCTGCTGGTGTCAGAATTGGTAAAAAAGGTTGAAGAGTGGAGGTATGTCTGACTTGTACCTCACAGTAATCAGCCATGGACTGATCTTGGTTCTCATTATCCCCCTGAAGTTAGACAGGTTCTGACATCACTATTACTACCATTTACAGAGGTCAGAAAAGTGGGGCTCTTGTTTAGCCTCTAATTTAAAATGTGGTATTGGATAAGTTAGGTTTCTCCCTCAGCCTCAGTTTCCACAGCTATAAAATGAGGAGGGAATCCCACGTGTGAGTGACAGCTGTTGCCTCCTTCCTTCCTAGGGACCTGGTGCAGGACAGGCTATCATGCAGAAGGGACCTCTGAGGAGCCTTGGGGACCAGGTTCTAGGACCTGCCAAAGTTAGAGATGCCTCTCCTCTCGGGCTATATTTTGGTTTGAGGGCTACTTACATTTTCCTGGAGACAGCATCAGTGATTTCATCAGACATCCCCAGCCCCCCCACACACACCCAGGACATAGGTCTGTGAGAATGGAGCCCCTAACTGAACTCTCATTGGAAGCTCTCCCACCCAAGAAAAGCAACATACTCTCACACAAAAAGCCAGGCTTCTCCAAAGTCTTCTCTCAGAATTCTGACTAAAATAAAGCATGTTTTTCTTAGCCCACCCCTGCCTCCTGTGTCTCACTGCTGCCTGAATGGGGGTTGGAAGTCACAACCCCCAGAGAGCTGATACTTTGTACCCTAAATTCTTACTGGTCCCCCTCTCAGGAAGAAAGGCCTGTATGCATTTAGGTGGAAGAACACCGCCTCCCAGTGGCCAGTCCCAAAATGTTCCGCTCACCACCACCATCCCCACCTTGAAGTCAGAGAGCGGGGTGCTTCCCCTGTCTGCATGCTGCCCTCCAGTGAGTAGGCCCTTCTGGGAGGGTGTGCTGCGTGGTGGGGATAGAGACCCCAATAAAGGTCTTCCCTCGAGTCTCTCAGCCCTCACTCATAGGCTTCTCACAGAAATGGTCCCTTCCCCAGCGATGAATGGCACAGAGAGGTCTTCTTGTGGCAGATGCTGGGAACAGATGGAGACCAGGTAGCATTGGGGGAGGCGTATTGAGGAAGGTGGGGGTGAGGAGGCTGTGCTGCCGTCGTTACCTGGCAGCCCTCAGCTCAGAACATTCCACATCTTCACACTGGGGTAGCTGGGAGTTTGTTGGACCAAGTCTACCACCTGTGGATTTGTTTTCATTTGTCTTTTAGTTAAACCACCTCATACTAGCACCAGTTCTGTGTAGAGTACTGTGCTAAAGGCTTCATATGCATGTTCTCATTTATATTCACAAAAGTACTATTACTAATCTCCATTTTAGAGAGAAGTCAAAGGCCCAGAGAAGTTAAATGACTACTCGAGGTCCTGCAACCAGGAAGGAATAGAGCAAAACTCCAACCTTGCTGACCCAGTCCAGGACCCATGTCATCCAGTTCTTTCTCCCTTGTTAACCAGGGCGTGATGCTGGGTGGCTCACAGAACCATGCTGAGAATGGGAAAGGACTTACCCAGGCTATGCAGTGGCTGGGCCATGCCTGAGTTCTTTTACACACTCCCACGCTGCCCCCCAGCCCATACTGCCCATCTTAACATGAAGAAGGCACCAGGAATCCTACAGAAAACATCCCAAGCTGTATCTACTTGCCCTTTCTGCTTCAATACCTTGGCTCTCTGTGGCCAGAGCATATACAGTGCTCTCCCTAAAATACACGTTTTCAACATGTACCTATGTGCACACACACATCTGCAAGCAGACCCATCTACTTACATATACACATCCACATATGCGCAAGTGAATGCAGCATGCCATACATGTAGACTCACAGACATGTACATATATATATCTCTCATTTAGGGCTACATATATAGTTAGGAGATTGGGCTCGGGATGAAGACTGGCTGGATTTGAATCCTAGCTTTACCACTTACTAGCTGTGTGGTCTTGGATAAGCCACTTAGTTTTTCAGTACCTCAGTTTTCTCATATGAAAAGTAGGAAGGATGATAATAATACATACACAACTGATTATTTGGAGAATTAAATAGGATATTGTATGTAAAGTGCTTACAACAGGCCTGGCAGATAGTAAGTGCTATGGTAAATGTTAATATATATGTTTACTCACCTAATATCATATACACTCATAGGTATGTGTGCAACCCATTACCTACTTGGACATACATGTGCCTACATGCATGTACACATACGCACACATGTTCATCCTCAGGTGTATACTCACACATACATACATCATTGCCCCCCAACCCAGGAAGCCTTACAGGAGGTGTGTCATGCCTTTGCTGTCTTCGGGCCAGGCCACAATGCACTTGGTGGCACCCTGTTCCATGGTGATGGTGGAGTAGAAGCACTGGGGGAAGGCGAGGGCCAGAGCCACCAGCCAGATGCCAGCAATAACTGCTTTGGTGCCAAGGGCTGAGAGCCGAGGCTGGAAGGGGTGGACGATGGCCATGTACCTGTGAGCAGAGGGTGAAGTGAATGGTGGATGTACTTCCAGCAGACAGCCCCCTAACCTCCCTCTTGCCATTCTGGGATTATAACCTCCAGTCCCAGTCTCAGCATTGCTGCCTAGTGACTGCAGATACTGGAGCCCTCACCCAGCCTGCAGAGAGCCAGCAGGGCTGTGGCTTTCCCACAGCCACACAGCATACTAGCACCCCAGCCAGGCCTCTACCATGCTACCTCCCTCTGAGCATGGACATGCCCTCAGATGGCCACAAACCAGTGGTATGACCACACTAAAAATCTATTTTGGGGAAGGACCAAGTATTCAGCTATAGCCTAAAGCTCGGTCCTGCCCGTCCCACAGCCTCTATGCCAGTCCCTGTCTTGCTCAGAAACCTTAGTGGAGCCAACAGTCTACTGGCGAAAATGTACTGTATCTGCACTGTCCCACTGAATTGTAGTGAGTGCCACTGAGGAACTCAATGTTTAAGTTTAAATGGACACATATTGCTTATGACTAAAGTACTGGCCCAACACTTTAAACGTGGCATCCAAGGCCGTCTGTTGCACTCTCCACCCTTCTCCAGCACTGCTTCTAGCACCTTCTCTGGCTCACTCTGGCTGTGGAACAGCCCTGCATCCCCTCTGCGGGACGTTTCCACCCCTGCTCAGCCTGGAACTCCTCCTTCCTCTCCAGATTCATTAAAGTCCAAGTGAAATGACGTGTCCTGCATGAAGTCAGAGTCCCTGCATGGTCCAAATGGCTGACGTGTTCCAGCTGCTGGACAAAAGTTGGAAGTCTGAGCCTACCCAGAGGCACCTTGGGAGAAAGGGCTGGCGATCTGCTTGTGAAACTCAGCCTTTGAAAATTGTAGGGAGCGCAGTTCCACTGTGACACACAGGGGTCACCATGAGTCAGAGGTGACTCCATGGCAACGGGTTTGGGTTGTTTTCCATGAAGTCAGCCAGGAGCCGATTCCTCAGCTCCTGCTTCTCTCTGGGGAAACCTGAGTGGGATTTGAACTGCCATTCAGTTCCCTTGTGCCTGGTGAAGTGCAGGGCCTGTTACCAAGTTACCTCACGCAAGAGGTGTGATCTCCATTCTCCACATTAGAAAATGGACTTAGAAAAGTGAAACAGCCCAGCCCGGAAGAGGCAGAGCTGGCTCTGAATCCAGGTTTGCTACAGCTGTGTGCCACCAGGTCATGTAGAATCAGCTCCCCTCTGTTCCTAGGGCCCAGAAAGCCACTATAGGCACCTCCCAGGGCCTGGTGGGTCTGAGACTGCGTGGGTCTAGGGCTCTGACTGAAGAAGAACTCTGGGGTAGCCATCTGCTTCCGCAAGGTCAAAAGACCCAAAGGAAGCCATCTACCCACTGAGGCAGGAACCTGCCTCTGTCCCTGTGAAGCCTGCAAGGTGCTGTGTGACATGGTTTCCTCCTCTGAAGACTAAGACTAGATTGGTGTTCTTTTTGTGTACATGGACTGTCAGTCTGAATTATACCCTCTTCTCCCAACTCTCCCCGTGGACTTAAAGTTCCCCTACCATATCTGTCCCCAATCAACTTTAAAAGGACTCGAGAAATCTCCACAGCTATCTCACTCACCCCAGCCTCTCCCTTCTCACAGAGATCACAGTCTGTAGCCTCTGAGAAGACACAGGACAATAGTTGGTCTTACTGTGAGGAACAGTCAGGCCCAGCTATATGCTGTGTAGATCCATGCTTCGTAAGGAGGCCCTAGGTGGCACAAATTGGTAAGCGCTTGACTACTAGCTGAAAGGTTGGTGGTTTGAACCCAGCCAGAGGAACCTCAGAAGATAGGCCTGGTGATCTGCTTCTGAAAGGCACAGTCTTTCTACAACAACAGCATGATATATAATACCAAATATTTCCCATAGTATGATCTATCCAGAAAAGGGAAATTATCTAAGCAATTTATTGTTGTAAAAGAAATACACCAAAACAAACACCAACTCTAGAGAAGATCCCAGAATATCCCCACACACTGCCCCACTCCTTCTCTTACAGCCTTGAACAACTCATCTAGTGCAAAGTTCTTCCTTGGTCTAACCTTAAGCCCCCTGCTTCGGTTCCACAGTCCACTGTCTTCCAGATAGTTTGGGATTATAACCAGGTCTGTCCAGGAGGCAATGCCCTGGGTACTCCCCTTACTTTGCTGTGCAATCGCAGGCAACTCATCACCCCATTCTGAGCCCCAGCAAAGTGAGAAGGCTCCCCCAGCTTCCCCAACACCCCTTTCTTGCCTGTCAGCGGTGATGGCTGTCATAGAGTAAATGCTGACAAACATGGCTGTGATGGGGAAGAGGTTCTGGAAGTAGCAGAAGGTACGGCCAAAGTACCAGATGTTGTGGCTGGCATAGACAAAGTTGAAGGCAGCGTTGAAAGCAGCCATGCAGAGGTCAGCCAGGGCCAGGTTGACAATGAAGTAGCTGGTGACTGTGCGCATCCTCTGATGGGCCAGGATGATCCAGATGACCGTGGCATTGCCTGTCACGGCCACCAGCACCAGGGCCAGGTAGGCTGAGGCCCACAGTGCCAGCTGCCAGCTGGGCATGGAGAAGGCTGTGATGCCTGTGGTGTTGATGCTTGTGATGTTGGTGTCAATCAAGACGGTACAGACCCCCATGGCTTCCTCCAGGTCTCAGATGAGGGGCCTGGCTCTGTGCATCCACCTGGGCCCTGGTGCCCTGCCCAGATTGTCAAGGAAGAGAAATCCCCTTGAGTACGTGGGTATGGGGGAGAAAGGGGTAGGTGCAAGGCCACGTTAAGGCCTGAGGGACAGTCCAAAGTCCCTCTTGGCATGAGCTGGGCTAAGGATGAATCAGGCTGAGCAGAGCCATTGCCATTTCAGATTTCCACATCCTGGCCAGAATCCTCAAATGCCGCAGGGAGATCTAGAATCCACAGTTTCAGAGCAGGAAATATCCTTCAAAATCACCGGCTCAACCTTCATCGCAGAAACAGAAACACTGAGATTCCAAGAGGAGAAGCGACCAGCTCAAATCACTCAGTAAGTTGGTGACAAGTCAGGACTCGAATCCAGGTCCTTCTTAATGCTATTCGGGAAACATTCTGGGTTAGCTGAGCGTTCAGTGTGAGTCTCTGAAATCAGTAGGCCCACTGTCCAGCAGGACTTGGCAGCCATGTGTCCAGGCTTTGGGGTGCAGGCTGGGTTTGGAGCTCGGGCGTGCTCAGGACTCTGCCAAATGCCAGCCCTGCCCTGCCGTGTAGGGCGGGTGAGGGCCTTGGCAGAGGTACTGGCTGCTTGCGAGGTGGAGATCTAACTCCCGCCCTCGTCCCACCCCTTGCTTGGACGGCTGGGTCTTGTCTTGTCTTTTGAGAAAAGATTTAGGACTGGCTGCCCGGGTAGGGACAGACTAGGGGAAATGGGAGCGGGGTTAGCATAAAGGGCACAGTCCTTAGTGGGGTGTTTAGATTCAGCCTGGGATAGGGGTCCTGCTAGAAAGTGATTAGGAGTACACCCTTAGGAGCCATGCAGACCCTGATGTGAATCTGGCTCTGTGACTCTGAGCAAGTCACTTAACTTTTCAGAGCTTCAGCTTCCCTATCTGAAAAAAAAAGTAGGGAAAACAATGTGCGCATCTCCCAGCATATGTGTGAGTTTTAAATGAGATCACATGCATACAAGAGGTGGCACATGAAAAATCCGACAGGTATTTGTGGCCCCAAGGGAATCTCTCACACAACTCAAGGCCCTGCAGGAGGGAGAAGACAGAACCCAAAGCATTGCTAAATGAGTCCTGGATGATGTTGATGCTGCTGGTCCAGAGACTTCACTTTCAACCACAGTTTTAGTACAAGCACAGGGCTCACTACCTCTTCTGTGGGCCCCAGAAAGGTTTAAGTCCTGAGGGGCTGCTCTGGGTGTGCCCAAAGAAGTCTGCTCTTTGTCATCAACTGTGTGCATATATAAGCAGCTCTGGTGGCACAGTGCCTAAGGCATTTGACTGCTAACCAGAAGGTTGGTGGTTCAAAACCATAGCCGCTCCATGAAAGAAAGATGGGGCAATCTACTTCCATAACGATTTACAGCCTTGGGAACTCAGTGGGGGTTGCCCTGAGTCAGAATCAACTCAGTGGCAGTGGGTTTGGTTTTTATGGATGTGCATATGTGTGTTGGGGTGTGATGGTATGATGACATTTCACCTGTGAACACCTGTAGCTGTGTGGACCCTGAAGGCTCAGGAGGGCAGGGAACAGCCCCAGCAGACTCAGGCATGGTGGCTTCCAGCTCCCTAGGGCTCAAAAGGAGCTTCCCTCCAGCTGTGTGGCACAGCGGGGGTCTCTTGAGGGTTGCCCGCCCACCCATCCTTACCCCCATCTTCCCTGCTTCTCCTTCTGGTATATCATGTCCACTCAGACCGCCGCCTGCCTCCCTGGCTGAGCTGGGAGAGACCTTTAAAGGCCTCGAGTGCCGAAAAGATGATGCCACCAATGGAATCCAAACTAAAAATAACACTAAACCATAAATCACAAAACCTAAATGTATGCTGAAATGGAAAGAGCTTCCTTCTAGATTTTTCTGATCGCAAACTCCTGGATAATTTCATCAACACTAAGATTTGATCTACTGCCTGGCACCTCTGCTGTGCTAATGTGCTAAGCGTGCTCTCAGTGTAGCGGGAATCCAGCCCTGCTCTTGGGGAGGGAGTGCTTCCTGGACCCCTACTCCTTCCAGTGGGTATGCGCTGGACTCTTGCCCTCCCAGAGCCTACTCCGGACAGCACTGCTCCGGCCCTGGCCAGGCCATGAAGGAGAAGCCTGTTCTTTCTCCTGAGGGGGCCACCACCCTCTATTTGGACATTGGTCCCTGGCTGAAGGGCTTCTGCCTTTGATCTCTTTCGGCATTGGCAACAGCAGTATTGGCTCAACTTTGGGGCTTGCCTCTGTCTCATGCTTAATTGGCCAGGTTCCTGGAGGGGAAGATGTAGAAATAAGAATGTCATCACAAGACAACCTTCTCACTTTGATGTCCTGGCCTCTCTCTCCCACTGCAGCTGGAGTTACTGTGCTTCAAATACAAACACAATGCAGGGCTGGGATGCCTGAGATGATGTCCCCAGATCACAGAGGCCCAGAATAATGCACCCCCTGCCCATCCCCCACCTCCGCTGTATATGTGGTGGATTATATTTTGGAGCTATTAAATCTCAGTTTTAATTCCCTCCTTCAATCATGTGTTCTTGCAGCTTTCCAAATATGTGCTCTGAGACTTGTAACTTCGTGGAAGGAATGGGGTGGGGGGAGGGACATCCAGGACAAAGGGGTTACTGAGCAGCTTGACTGCTCAGAGCTGACCTTCCGAGTCTATAGCTAGACAATGGCCTTGAAAGCCAGGCTTTGTTCAAAGAGGAAAAATATTCTCAGTTCCTTTACGTCCTATTGACATTTCAAGACTGGAGAGTTTTCCCGTCTAGCTGTCTTCATGGGAAGTCCCATCCAGGCAGGAGGCAGAGGAGGAAAGGCTGCCCACGTGAGTCTGGCCATGATTGGCTGAGTTGCTGGTGCAATTTCGGTACCTCCAGGAAGCTAGTTTGGATTCAGAGTTGAGTGTGCAGAATGTTTATTAAGGGGTACCCTTGGGTCAACAGCTGTGGAAGAGTGGGGATGGAACAGGAGTGGGCAGGGGAAGCTGAGTTGTGAGGCAGCCCCAACAACAGCGTTGGACAACCCATGGGCCCTCCAGATCTAGAATGGCCCTTCAGAGTTGTCCTGTATTAGACAAAAGTGGCCAGGTCTTTATACTTCCATGTTGATCATTAGATGTAGGCTGTCCTAAGAAGGAACATAACCTGGGACAGGCAGCTCTCTGTTATCCTCTGCAGAGGATAACAGCTAAGTACTGTCTGCCAAAAGCACCTCAACAACTTGAAGGGGGTCTGGGAAGCACACAAGGCCCCTGAATGGCACAAGTGGTTTGCAATCGGCTTCTAACCAGACGTTGGTGGTTCAAACCCACCCAGCAGCTCTGTGAAAGAAAGGCCTGGTGGTCTGCTTCTGAAAAGATGACAGCTGAGGAAACGCTGTGGACCAGTTCTACTCTATAACACATGAGGTCGCCATGAGCTGGAAGCAACTCAACAGCAATGGGCTTGGACAATATACCCAGTACCTCCACTTTGGATGGGGGCGTGTGCTTCTCACTGATTATTTGCATTAAGTTGACTAGATTTTTTGTTTGTTTGTTTGTTTGTTCAGGAAGTTTGGAAGAGAAAAGCAGGAGCAGCAGGGTATGAGAGAAATGAAAAAGGAGGCTCCTGGAAGCATTGTGGACTGGGTGTCCCCTTCCACCAAACCAAAAACCAAAATGGTTTCCACTGAGTCGATACATAGCGACCCCATGTGTACAGAGTAGAACTGCTCCATAGGGGTGTCTTGATTGTGATCTTTCAGAAGCAGATTGTCAGCCCTTTCTTCCGTGGCCCCACTAGGTGGATTTGAACTGTCAACCTTTAGGTTTAGCAGCCAAGTGTAAACCACTTGCACCACCCTGGGACCTTTCTTTTCAGCAGGGTCTGAGAGATGCCTGGAAAGAGTTATTTTTGGAATTACCTTCAGAAATGGCCTGACCATGTTTCCCTGACCAGGAGTCTGCTCTGGGCGTGGGGCCTGGGGCCATGGCTTTAGTGAGTCGCACACAGAAACATGGGACAGTAGTGCTGGAAATTTGTTGCACATCATCCAGTCCAACACCTGGCCCACAGATGGTGCTAAGTGGCAACAAGTTCACCCGGACTGGCCAAGATGAGGGCAACATGGAGCATGCAGTGAGCTCTTTATCCCACTGGATAAAATTGGTTAAAACAATGACCCTTCATTTTGGACTACGCCCTTCCTGCTTTTGGGGTTAAAACGGCCTTTCTTTTATCAATTAATAGTAATGATAGAAGGTGGCTGTTAGCCTGGTTTTTCTTTTCTCTAGAAATCCTTGTTGTGTGCCATCAAGTCAATTGCCTCTCATAGTGACCCTATAGGACAGACTAGAACTGCCTCACAGGGTTTAATCTTTATGGGAGCAGATTGCCTGGTCTTGTCTTCCATGGAGCCTCTGGTGGTTTTCAATTTCCTGCCTGACTTTTCAGTCAGCAGGTGAGTGCTTAATCATTTCATAACCCTGTATGATTCCCTCAGTTTGTTGGTATTTTATTGTTTCATGAAATCAAAAACCCTGGGAGCCCTAGTCTAGTTTTATCTCCTCATTTTAAAGAAGAGGAAAGGGTGCCTCCAAGAGGTGGAAGGACTTGCCCCAGCTCCCATTGCCAGTGCAGAGGACCTACACTGGTGACTTCCTTCTGGCTTCTAGAGCCTTTTCTGGTCTGTTCTGCCTCCTCTCTCTGGAGTCATCTTTATAGAAGCAGAACTCCAGGCCTTTCTTCCATGGTATCACTGGGTGGGTTCAAACCACCAACCTTTAGGTTAATAGTTGATCACAAACTGTTTGTACCACCTAAACCAAAAATAACCCAAACCTATTGCTGTTGAGTAATTCCAACTCATGGCAACACTATGAACAAAGTAGAACTGCCCCATAGGGTTTCCAAGGCTGTGATCTTTTTTTTTTTTTTTTTCCAACTTTTTATTATGATTTGAGTGAAATTTTACAAA